ACAGAATTGATTATAAATAAAAGAAGTGATAATATTTAAATATTAATCAGAAACTTAAAAATAATCTCAAATGTATATATACACATATACAGAACGTTAATAAGTTTGCATTTACGATTCCCCGAGAATTCCAGGTTTTCCAGGGTTTCCGGTTAGCAGACACCCTGGGTTTTTATTCGACATTTCGCGCGGCGCGGTCCTTTTTTTGTTACCCCGCTCGAATTTTGGATTATGAAGAAAAATTGGGGAAGAGTATGTTCAGCCCGTAGTCATAATGAGATTTGCCGCTCTTAATCACCGTTGCAGGCGTTATTTTGTGACGCATGAATATCCATTAATTGTTGTCAATTTGTTTAAGAGCCCGTGCTTTTTTCAGATAAAAGCGTATTTGAACTTTTCCTCGTTGATGAGATTTCACCTTTGATGTCCGCCGTTTTTATTGCGTTAAGTGGATTTCAGAGGTAATTTTTTTCCAGCCGGTTGCGCCACGTTTGCCGCACTGTTGCAGTGTCCATGAAATGCGTTCTCGTTTCCCTCTCATATCGACGAGGATCAATAGAGCAGGGGGAGCGGGTATCCGTGACGACGATTTCGGAAGCGCGACGGGAATATAGTGCCGAACGTCGCGTACCGTTCGCGACTCCAAATGTGACTCTAGCATTTTCCACATCTTCCAATTATTATATTTTTACGCTAAAGAGAGAAAGAGAAGAAAAGGAAGATCCAAAATATTATTCAACTAAATGTATGTCAATTTCGATATTACCACCTCTCTCACCTTCTCAGAATAAATTATGCGACGCTGAAGTTGCCGCTGAAAGTTCACCCATAATCTTATCCTCCGCGAATATTTCGCGATCGTAATGCACTCAGCCGAGCCAGCAGGAGTACCGGTTCGCATCTTGAGATCGGTCATTCGCACAAGCGGCGTCGCGGAGACTAATGCGACACTTTCTGAGAAGGAATTGCAATTGTCATTTGTCCGGGGAACGCAATATACGGCGGACCGGCACCCTTCGAGCGGCTCGACTCGCTCCTAACCCGCGCGCTTCTACTACGGTGGCAGCACGTGAATTTCGCGAGGGTGAAGACGGAGAAAAGGGCAGCCCGAGACATTAAGGAGGCAAGAGACGAAATGGGCGTCGGGATAAGGTCGGATGAAGGAAGGAGAACAGATAGAGGAGACGAGAGCGGAAAGAGGAGGGACACAAACAGTTCGATGTGACACCCGTGCATTCGTCTCGTTGCTCTGCTTATCGCAAGAACCCCCATTTTTATCCCGCCTGCGATGTCCTCCAGCGTTCTCTACCTTCTCGAGCTCACATAGACCACCTACGTAAGTTTTAGCTGCCGTCCCTAACTCGCAGTATATATATACAAATATATATGTGTATATATATGTATGTATCTGATGGCATCTGATGGCATCGCCACTCCCAAAATGGGCCACTACATCCAATCTCGTCTCATTTCCGGTTCCTTTCTTCTTCCCAATGACCTTTGTTTCAACTGTGATTTTCGTTCCGGAGAGTTCGACTGGGGTAACCTGATCGCGTCATCGATCTTCTCCGCAGACCTTCCCAATCCTTACAGCGCAAAGTTTTCTCGTTTCCTTGGGTATCAGGGCGTTATTCTTGGAATCGCTTCAAACTGTGCGCACTTAAAGTGCTGTATTTTTTTCGGGGGGGGGGGGNTGATATCGAAGAGCGGTCTGGCTGGCTGGGTTCGTTTTTGAAATACCAACGAGGCAAGAATAATCGGGGAAACTACTAAAAGCGATCGAGGACAGGGAAGCAGAAAAACGTACATGCCATCAGAAATACACCGAGACTTGGTGAATTGTCGCGAGAAGGAACACGACGTACTCGGGTATCTACTTCGATCTTCTTCCTGAACTTCGCGTAATCGAGTCTACTTTTTCCGTTCCCGCCCGTCGTCCTGACACCCTCCCGGAAAAGGCAAGATTCAAACGGGCGTTTGGGGGATGCGGGTGGTCAGCAAAGATTAAAGAAAGAAGACAAACACGAATCGTTGCCTCCTGCGTCCTCCCTTCGTCCACGTGCCGCGCGTGCATGTGCACACGCAGTACCGGCGGCGTGGACATCGATCGCTGACGAGCCGTTCGCGTCGTACATACGCGCTCACGCGATCGCCGAGTTCACCACCGACAGGCCGAAATACCTTCGCGATTCTCTCCTCCCTTTTCCACCTTACATGTATCGGAGGATATCGCGTACGCGGCGATGGTTAAAGCCACGACACCCTTATCACGGGGGCGCGCGCCGGGGTTGATAAGAATCTGACCGGGCCTGAAACCAAGTTATCCGGATCGGCTCTGGGTGATAGATGGCTCTAATCTGCCGAGAGAGCACGATCGAGAGTCGACCTTGCAGCGAAGAACATGGATCCGTAGGCTGCTGGAATCCAGCGCGGAGTGATCGAGATAAGGACCCGCGCAAAAAGGACATAAGTCACGCTGACACGTAATTTCGTTGGCCGGAATGATACGCGTAATTTTCTCCGATGTCACAGTCAGGCCGAGGACGTATGTTCGTGGAACTTTTAGATTGGAGGCCAGACTCCCTCGGATTTGTAAAAAATGTACCGATTCACGCGATATTAATTTCACGTTGGGACGAAGTGACGGGTAGGGCAATTTCCCCGCTAGATTGCACCGAATTTCTACGAAAGTTCCGACGGTATCTTAATTGCGGGCAACATCCTGAGTCGAAATTTTAGTTCTAACATTAAGTTCCCCACATGGAGGACACGGCAATATTCTCCCATTTGTAGAATAAAAGTAGCACAATACTGCTTCTCTGAAGATCCAATAGAGAACTAAAATTTCGACTCGGGATTTGCGCGAGAAAATTAAGACGAGGAGAAATCAGTCGCGGAAACTGAAACAACGCTCCAAAGATTTAACTAACCAATGTTGACGCGTGATCTCTCCCGTGACTCGTTTCTTTTTTTTAATTTAAATTTAAATTTTGATACAGGTTCCTCTTTGACAATTTTGAAATATCAGCTTTTCCTCTTTTCCGTCTTTTCCGTCAATTCTATCCCGAAATTCAACCCAGTATCTCTCAAACCGCGCGCGTTATACGTGTATTCGTGGCCAACGGTGGTTTTCCCACGGGCCATTGGCTCGGAAGGACTGCAATTTGATCGAAACCCACAAGCCCGGAAAAACATCATAGCTTCCGGGCAAATCCTAGCAAGAATTTCTCACCAAGATAGCGCGTACGTTATTTGTACGACGCCCGGGGCAAGTTCATTGATGTCGCATGCGGTATTCCATGATCATCCAATCATATTCGTCTAGCGAATCTGCATTTTTAATCCTCGCACAATCCTCCGAAATTCGCGAGAGCGGAAATACACGAAAAGCCTGCATCTCTGGCACTTGCGTGACACTTCGACGAATGGAAAATTACCGAAGGAACGTACGAGGGTTAAGAAGAAAAAAAAAAAGTCGCGTCCCTCGAAGATCTACCAAGAACCACCGCATCACCTTCATACCACCCGAAAGTATCCGTAAACGGCAATCATCAATCACCGTCGCGAGAGTCATGCGGGTGACGGCGCACAGCCTCGCAGCTGATCCCATCCTATCGCTTTCTCCCGCGCCTAGCCTCGTGTCACTGGGTTACCGCACGTCCCGAAACGGAAGTGAATCCCCCGTACCCGCTCGGCGGAGTGAGTACCAGTGAGTGCTTTTAGGCGAGACCGCACTCATAGGCGACGGAGTTTTACGCCGATGGTACGAAATAAGGAGAACACGACGAAACCGAGGACTAGGGGGCGGGAGGGGGCACAGAGGGGGTGTCAGAGCGTACGTGGATGAGGGAGCAGATAGAGGGCGAGCAGGCGGGGATGCCGGGAACAAATGCGAAGACCTGCCTCCATTTACGGGGGTTGCGAGCGTCGGGGGTTGGCACGAGATGGAAGAGATTCGTAGAAAGACCGCGGAATTGGATAAGCCGGCGGGGTTTGTTTTGTCAGGGGTTCGCAACGAGGGTAAACACGAGCTGAGACCGTGGTATCGCGTGGTCGATGGTCATAGGCCCGACCATCGCGTGTCTCAGCGAACTTCTCGCTTGTTCGCCCGCTCGCTCGATCGCTCGCCCGTTCGTCCGTCTGCGGAAATCGGCAATCTGCTAGCCCGAGACAGGCACTCGCGCCGTTAACAAGCGCCGGATCGATGAGTCGAAATGGCTCCGCAGGTTAAATTAATATTTCCTCGGAATGTTTACTTTTCACGAATGACTAAATTATCCCCCTCCCCTCGGCCCCTACGTGCAAGTTTTCAGGTCTCTTCTGCGAAGTCGTTGTCGCCGTTTAGCGACTGCGCGAGTTTGCCGGAATTGCGACGCTGTCTACTAAAGCGATCTGAGATTTTCACTCGCGTCGCACACGGAGAATATCCACAAGTTACTCGATAGAAATTTGATCGGGGAATTATGAAAGCTTTCTTTTTCTGGTATACAGGGTGTTGTGTTACACCGCACGATATGCTGTACAACCTTAACCTTTCGCGGTCCGTAATTATTTTCATCGTGTACTCCGGCAGGTTTACAATTAAATCGAAGACGAGAAAGACTCATTGGTAAACATGTCATTGATATGAAGTCTAAACATAAGATTCGCTGGAATAAAATTGTTCTCCAGTCACACTGGACTTAGGACCGTAGAAGGTTAAGGAGCATGTTTTTCGTGTAAGATAAATTAAAAAATGTATAAACGATTATCCACTTACAAGCGTTTAAAGTTTATAAATTATAATGCAATTTTCTGAGAACATTTTTTTTTATATTAAAAATGGAAAATAAGAGAAAATAGGAGGATTAAAAGTTTAGTGTACGAAAATAAAGTTAATATTCGAGCTGAATTAATACGGCGTATTAATAAATGCATGTGGATAAATAAGGAACAATCATGATATTCATCGTGTAATTATTCAATCCATTTTAGACCGTACTGTGTGTCAGTCGAAGGAATATTTGAACAATGTATGTAATCCTTATGTTTTCATTCTTTTAAATATACATGTAAATATATATTAGATAAAAAAATGTTCAAAAAAATTGGTATCACAAACACTTGTAGATATTTAGGAAGACAACCGAGATGACGCGATCGCTCTCACTTTGCGGTTGTAAGGCTTCAACGCACTCTATTGTTTTCTCTCGACGAAGTTAAAAATAAATATTTCAATATTCCGACGTTTTCTTCCTTAATAACGCGTTAAAGACAGATCCTCGTTATTGCCGTTATTGCCGACATCGTCATCGCATTTCCGCGTCACGCGCGCGAATCGACGAGGTATAAAGCGAGGAAAATCTCGCGGCCGCAATTTACTTTTCCTGATATCATTCCGCGATACAATTCGCCAGCCTCATTTCCCGTCGTAGCGAGAGTGCGGAAGGAGACGGGTCCTTACGCGAAGAATCGTCGGGACGGGACCGACGGCGATCGAAAGCCCGACAATGGAATTGCGATTATCGTCCGAGCGGGGTTGCTTGCCCTCATCAAACCCTATACGCGAGGGCGAATCGAATGGTATGGAACACGATGAGAGACAGGGAGAGGTATCGGCGAAGGAAAGAGGGAGCGGGAATGAGGGCGGGCCTGGCACCGGGTGGAGGAGCAAGATAGAGTTAGAGAGGAACGTGCGGGAGGTACTAGGTGCTGTTTGTTGAATCCTCGAGATCAATACGACGTATCCTATCTCTTTCTCCCTCGTAACACCGCGGACGATAGCGTGCGTGACATACGTACACGTTCATGTTCCTGATAGACGTCACGAGTGGCGGCAAAGTGACGCTGCGCCGATCTCTATCCTGCATTCTGGAAAGTGTCGTATATTCTTTCTCTTTTAAAGTGAGAACCGGAGCAAAAAAAAAATATTAAACGTATCGCTCACGATTGTCCTTTTTGTTCGCGGGTTAAATTGACATCATCAGCGACGATCGGCTGGAATCTCATGATTAATTACACGATCGTCATGTTGCGTACATCAGTCACGCCAGTTATGATATATTGCTGTCATGAGATTGCAACTAACCTGGCTTCATTTCCGATAGCTATGTAAAGTAACTTCGCGAGGTCCTGATCGTGCAAGTTTCTAGACGGAAATTTCGAGTTCCTCGGGGGGAGAGAGAGAGAGAGAGAGTTTCTCGCGATCGTTTTCTCTTGAGATTCAAATGTGGACGCGCTTCTTTTCTATCTCCGCGGAAACTAAATGACGGATCTCCGTGGAGCCTCATCGAGATGGCGTATGCTTCACACGTGCGAGTTCAAAAGTCCTTTCATAGAAAGGAGGCGATGCAAGAAAGACGAAATTAATCACGATGGCTCTTCAAGGTGGGAGCCGGTATCTCCGGCTTTCCTACCCATTTCCACATAATCCTTCATTCCGCCCGACTCTCCCATAAAGGCCGCCAATTCCACAAAGGGTGAATACACCGTGAGAGAGGGTGGCTTCACGACGCGGACTGCCTTTCAAGAAATGGGGCCGGTCATACCACTTTACTTATCGCACTATTTATACCGCGAAGAATTTCACGAGAAAGCTCTCTCGTGGAGCTTTCTTCAGCTCTCTGTCTCTTTCTCTCTCTCTCTCTCTCTCCCACCCCCTCTCTCTCTCTCTCTTTCTCTTACACTCCCCCCGTCCTGCCTCTCCCGACCAATCGAGGAGGCCTGCTTATCGTTGCCGCGAAGGGTGAACTGCGCACTGCGGTACGGGACAAAAATAGGTCGGCCAATTCTCGTACCAGTATCCCTCTTTCACCTCCGCCTTACCTATCGACACCTCCGCACCCTTATCCGAGCTCTAATAAAAAACGAATATCTGCGAGTGAGGTTCGATCGCTTAGGCGCGGCCCTTTCGACGCAAGCTCAGGGTCAAATTTAACCGGCGCTGATGCGCTAGAGAGGGAGGTGGAATGTATTAATCGAATTATTCGGCGATATTACGCGAAAATTAATGCCTCAGAATATCGGATGTGTAAATGCGAATTTGTGATCTACCAATTAAGGGTATCCGGTTATCTCTACCGGTGATCTCGCGAAGATATACGAGAAGTGCGGAGAGAGAGAGAGAGAGAACTTCCACCAAGATATATATATATATATATATACACGCGATAAATGTTATATAACAAATCAGATTATTGGCCGATAAAACAGTGAAACCGGGGAAACGTTAATGTTGCGGTCGCGTCTCGGTAATGGATTTATTAAATATTGCTTGCGAAAACTTGCAAAATAGACGCTTCTGTGTGTCGGGTAATTCCCTTCTGCACATCTGTGGGCCGTGTGTATAAAATCTCCGTTATATATAATTTCTCTCTAGCTGACGGGAGAGCGCGCGCGCTTCAACTCTCGTCCGAAGCTCCGACTCGAATAATCGGGCTTACTTTCACTTTACTTTCGGAGCAGAAGCTCGTCGTCGCAGTACGCCTGTCTACTACTAATCCGGGCGTGTTCACTCAGTATATGAGATCGTTTCGGAACTAAAATTCAAAGGGTCATTCCGCAGAGCCGCTAACTAATAGGATTGCACGCACCTTCAGTCCCATGCTACTAGCGAATATTAGGCATGCCGCATCGACGCACCTTCCTCCAGCGCATCACAGAGCCTACATGTACATCTATATACACACATGAACAACTGTGATCACGGGGTGTACAGTGAGCCGGTGGCTGTACCAGCGGGATCAGTGTCACCTCACTTTCGTTGCGAGACACACACACACACGTCGCATGTGATCGGCGTCTCCCTAAAGCGCAAGGATGCACGCGGGTGTGTGTGTGTGTGTGTGTGTGTTGTCCACGTCTGATCCCTCCGTGATAACGACGGGTTCATCACTGTGAGACGATTTAGCTGCATTAGCCAACCTCTAACGGTGCAACCTCTAACGGAACCTTTCATCGGCCGATTCGCTCTCTCGGACGACTAATGGGCGAATAATTCATCTACGGAAAGCGAATCCTGTCAGGATCCCTCGCGTATGCGCGGGGACGATAATCACGAGCGCGATCCGTGTTCCGTTCAATTTCCGGATCACTGTTTGTCGTCGGGCCATCTATCCGCCGCGGCGTATTGCTGTTGGGGCGGTTGGCCCGCGGAGACCTGAGAGGCGGGCTGCAACGATTGCTGTTGCGCCTGCACGTGCGACTGCACCTGGTACAGGGGGTAGCTCTTTCGCTTTCGGATTCCGTGCATGGAGAGCAGATGGATCTGCAGATACTGCTTGGTCTTAAATTGCTTGCTGCACACGTGGCACGAGATGTACTCGGTCTGCACGGTGTGCACGTTGACGATGTGCTGCTTCAGATTGGAATTGTTCGAGTATATCTTGCCGCACTCGGGACACTTCGGCTTGCCGGTGTGGCTCGCGTTATCCATCTGCTGCTGATACCGCCTCTGAGTCTGCTGATGCAGCATCGCCATACTCTCAATCTTGTCCTTCGCGCAGGACTGCAGCATCAGATTCAGCTGATCGCCTTTAGCGGCGCTGCCGCTCTGCTGGAGGCTTTGAAGGTTGTTCTGCAGTTTCTGATGCATCATCGTCAGTTGCTCAGTGTTGAGGCTGTTGAGCGGGTTGAGGGCATTGAGGGCGTGTTGCTGCGACGACTGTTGGCTGGTGGCATGGTGATGATGGTGCTGATGGTGATGGTGATGGAGGAGGGCCGAGAGCTCCTGACCTTTCGAGTTGTGACCACCGCTCTGATAAGTTCCAGACCCGGCGTGCTCGTTCCTCGTGGAGGATGTACCGGGCAGCCAACCGGAGCTCGAGCTTGAACCATCTCCTCCAGAGGGCTGCCACCGCCCTGGAACCACCAGCCAATGTCAGTCCTCAGCCAACCTCGTATGATCCCTTAAACACTATTCTCAATCGCTCTTTCTTTTTTTTTTTTTGCCTCTTTTATGACCTTTCTTATGCGCTTTTTCGACCTCCTCTTTTCCGATAGTGAGTTCCCAGGTCTTACGGACCGCTCGCCCTCGACGACTCTCTCTCGCTCTCAGTCCCTCCCCAAACGAGTCTCTCCCTAAACCCGAAGGATCAAGCTCGATCCTTCGTACGCGTGCGAGTTAGCACGGCGATCGTTCCTGGCGTCCTTCTGTGCGCCCTACTTCGTCTCTCTTCTTCGTTATCACCTTCTCGAATCGCAGTTTTTGTTTCCGACTCTTATCCAAACTGTCGAATGTCGCCGATCGAGCAAAATCACTATATCGGTAAAACAAATCGTACCGAGGTTCGGATTTATATGGTTTGATATATTCGCATGGCGATCCTGAAGACGGATCGAGCGCCCTATTGCAGGATTCCGTCAATGTGATTAAGTTACGAACGACGCGAGCCGATTTCACATTTACACAATTCCCCGAGGCAATTGTCGCGCGAAAATGAGCCTCACGTCGCAAACGTGAACGTGACGACGAAGACGAAGGTGCGACCTGAAGCTCGTTTTCGTAGCTAAAAGTAATTGCGTGGGTGTGAAAGAGGTTTGCGTCTCTGGCAAGTAAGATACGCCGCAGTAACGAACTTGAAGAGCCGTCGAGGTGCGACTCCACAATACGCTGCTCACCGTGTGATAAGAGGGGTGGCTGGCAGGGGATGCAGGGTTGTGAGAGGTACGAGAGTTCCATGCATTCAACGCAACAACGAGAGACCAGAGTCTTAGGAAACGACGGAAGGATACTAGTCTGGGCTTCGAGAACGTTTAAAGGGTGAGATCGAATTGTTGATTTGGCTCACTTACCGTAGCTCGAATCCTGATTTGCCGCGTGAATCCCGGACGGTCCCGGTATCAGCCCTGTAATTTACGAATAGAGCAGCTGCTTAATGAAGTGAGCGAACGTGAAGGCAGAGAAAGAGAGAGAGATAGACTGATAGATACAGAGAGGAAGAGTGAAATGGAGTATGAGTGAGAGAGAGGGAGAGAGAGAGAAAGGGGGAAGGGAGAGAGAGAGAACGGTGGTCAAACGGCCGGTTCTCGTGCATTGCGTGTTAAAAATGCACGGCATCAACTATTTTGCGAATATTTATCACGGTATCCGTGCCACACTCAATTACCGATGGTATAAATCTCGCTGATATACGGGTAAACAAAATCAAATTATGTTAATAACACGTTAGTTCGTTACGCTTAATAATAGATTCATACTAATGCGTTTTCGCAAGTCAAGGAATACAATGAAATTATATACACAAATGGAAATAATTGTAATTATTCATTAATTAATTTTAATTAAAGCCGTAATTAGTAATTAAGTCGGCCTAATTGTTAATTACGAAAGTAATTAGTAACTAGACGATAAATTAATTATTAATTCAAAATTTAATTAGTAATTAAATGCACTTGAAAAAAGCTGATTTACATCCTCTTAGCAGCATCGGGCGGCCTTCTTTGGCCCGTATCTCGCGAATTTAACCCTATCTTATACATTAATGAGCTGACGGGTGTAATTTACGCGCGAGCCGCAGTCGATATGAATGAACTTGTTCGAGCGAGGAAAAAAGAAAGAAGTTGCGCTTGTATTTTTATCCCGAAACACCGAGTACCTGTTGTTAAATCGTGACGACTCCTGAATCCCGCAATTTCCCGAGCGCAAAATCGCGTTATAAATATTAATGCGAGAATTTGAGATAGAAGTCGTATAATTACCTTGAAGATTCAATAGTGCCGTGGGGAAGTTAGTGCGGTGGTGTTCCATAGCATCGTTTAGAATATCACTTGGCTCGGTCTTCACAGAGTTCAGAATGCTGTCGTTATTCGACGCGTCCTCCTCGTTGTCAGATATGGAGTTGGAGTCGTCGCCAGTCGATTGCGCCTAGACATAAACGAGATCCATTTATAAACGATCGATAATGGCGATGGATAATGCGGAAGTTTGCGCGCGAAATAACATGTGATTATTGCGGCAACGCGATAATAACAATGACGCGTAAATTTGCCTCTCTCCCTCTAGAATTTCGACGTTCATGAAGTCACAGTCGTCGAATAAATTACACGCGACTTTTACAACGACATTAACGAATTTCGCGTTAACTCGAATGCTTTACTAAATCATCCTTTGCGCAAAACGGCCCGTCTCAACGCGGGCCACCACATTTTCGCTCACCTGTACATTGTTGCTGGGTGTCGTGTGTATTGTAGGGCCACCTTCGAGAGCCTGGCCGAGCAAGGACTCTTGAAGATCCGATTTGTGTTCGACGTGGTTAGCCATCGTCGGGCTGTAGCTCCTGGCTCTCTTGTTCGGCGTCGGACTCATACCGTCTTCATTGAGATCTCTCCCAGTATCCTGCCAAGGATTACGAGGTGTCGCCTGATGAAATTAAAGACAGTCCGGATAACAGAAAAAATCTCGCACTTGTGAACGTTTCGGCCGCTCTCGCGCGCGATAATCTCTCATCGATCAGCGGAAACACAGTCGGGCGCGCGCGCGCTCTCTTTCTTTCTCTCTCTCTCTCTCTCTCTCTCCTTCTCTCATCCGTTATTAAAACCTGCCGCGTAATATTTGTCTAACGTCTATTATGAGCCGCGAAATTAAAAGCTAAAGGACGAAGCGCGAAATCCTAGCCGGGATTCCGCCTGTCAGGCCGGCGGCGACGGAGGTGGCGGCGGTGGCGACGGTGGCGGCGGCGGCGGCGGCGGCGCGGTGTTAAAAGCACATTAATTAAAATTCGTTTTAATTAAGGCTAAATTAATTAAAAGTTCGAAACCAGCCGTATAATTCGTATAATTAATTTTCCAACTTCCATATTAAACTGCCGGGGAGACAACTTACAGGTGCGCTACCGTTGTTGCCGGCCGACGACGGCAGCGGCGGAATTTTCGCGGTAGCCGCGCCGCTGTTGACGTCCGCCAGTCCTCGAACCTGAAGCATCTGCGCCGTTTGCAGGAAGGTGGGCAGTCGCTCCTGACCCACGTGCACCTCCCCATGATACATAAAGCGTAGTATCGACTCCATGTCGGACGACGCGACGTCCCTCAGAATCACGATTGGATGTTGGCATGGATTCGCCTGCGCAAAAAGAACAAACGTTTCCCTCGAGTGCGAGTCTTTGGTACCTTTGCCGAACTGGGCAATAGTCGTTTCAGGCGAAATTTACTTATTTCTGGTTACATTCCTCGAGTTGAATTTAAGCCCTACATTAAGTTATACGTAATCGATGGGTCGTATTTTAAAAGAAATAAATATCACACGTACATTTTTGCTAAAAGACGGGATGAATTTTCGCATCAAGCCGGTATACACATTTTTGAACGGTAACACAGTCGCGTTATTTTATTCACGGGAACTTGCGTCTCCACATCGCGACTCGCGCTGAAGTCAAGTGCGAAGACTGCCCGAGCAGCTTTTAACTTCACATTACTGCGCTCGCGTGATACCGTTCGGCGTTATTCGTCCAATCGTGACGGCCGAATACGCAACACTGATTAAACGAGGTTTGATATAAGATACCGGTGTCAAGTTAATCGCAGCTATTAATAATCAACTCGTACCGGGCAGCGCCATTAGAACAGTTATTTCATACGCGGCCAGGCAATTACGAAAAGTATGCGAGCGAACGTTTGATCGATCAAGGCTATCGATCTATCAAGAAGCGCGCGATTTTTCTAATCGCGAATTCATGAGGAGCGTTCATCGGAAGCCAAGGGGGGAGGATACATCGATCCGCTATCAACGAAAGGTCAAGAGGTTCGACGGTAACGAATATCCTCCTCTCCACACTTCCATCCTCTCCACTCCCTCTCCAGCGTGAATAGAACAGAAACATTTCTCACGTATGTTGAAATTCACGTAGCGAAACCGTACGTAGCTCGATTTCCGTTGTGCAAAAAGAGAAACAACTCATTTCAGGCTAACCGATTTAGCGCCGGTTAAAGGTCGAGAAGCGCACGAGGATTCTGATCGATGCCCGGCGAATCGATCCCTCTTCCGAGGAGCGCTCGATACCGTCCGCCGATAGACGCGCGAGGAGAGCCTGACGGCCGATTAATTTATAACGATTTACAACCAAGATGCATATAATCAGTGCCGTTTAATCCACGTCGGTGCCCCTCATCTTGCCCCGCCGCTGCGCCGATTTGTACGGTTTAAGGTTGCATAAATTGACGGTTGCCTTTTTCTCTTTTCCGGAAGCGCGTGCAGCGGAGTCATGACTCAAAGGGTTGAATCCACGAGACGGAGTGCGAAACCGTGCGACGTGCGAATTATAATAACGTACTCTCTGTGCGGAACCGCCTATCCGAAAAATATGATTCGCGCAGATGTTCTTGCGAACTTCGAGTCGATATTTTAAATTCTATATTTACCTCCCACGCGCAACAAAAAATGGTTTTAAGTCATTGGTAGATATTTTTATATATAAGCAAGAATATTATAATATTCTTTTTTATATATGAGAATATCTATCTATTGATTTCTATATGTAAGATAATTTTTCCCCCGTGTGGTAAGATAGGGTCGGATTGGCCCGATGGTTTCGTTTATTTTACAGCGTGCACACGCTGTTGCTTCTCTTCTCGAGGAATGTTTCATTATTTATTTCTTTCACCCATTTTGTTTACCCATTGATAAAAAGTGAACAAAACATAGGATCGGATCCGACCTCACCTTCTTGGATATATTGAAAATCCACCTTGCCATTATAGGGTTAAGTCTTCAAGTAAAGAAAACGAAACTAACGTTCCCATTTGCAGCATCAAAGGAGATCGATAAGTGCTCCTTTAATGCTGCAAATGGGAATCGGGACCTCCGGAGTCTAAATTTTAAATTCCACATTATTTTCAAGCCTTGGCCATTGCCAAGGAAACGGCAATAACCATTCTCAGCATTAAAGCAAAGCTAATAGAAGACCTTTGAAGACTTAATGTAGAACTAAACTGGACATAGGTCTGAGATTTCGATTCGGGAACAACGACAAATATTTTCGCGCTCTGATGGACATTCAGGTATTTGACACGCGAGAATTTTCAGTCCACCTCGGTCGACTGATTTGCAAAAACAGGAAGCGCTGTCGGCTGGATTGAAGTGTGCGCGACGCCAAGAATGCCCCAGATGCGCGTCTTTCGTCAACGGATTGACCGGGCGAAATCGCTGCCCGCCGGTGGTTAATTACATCCGCGAATAGTCACGCTCGACGGCCAATTGATTCGTAACGACGATTTATAACCACGACGCGTATAATGATCGATACTCAATCCACGTCGGGATGCTTCCTCCGCACCCCACGGGCATCAATTCTTACACCTGTCAGACCGGCGAATTAACTCTTAATATCGAATGATCCTCGAAATCGTTAGACGATGACAATTTATTCTCGGCCGGTGCATAGCCCCGCTCTCGGTCGAGTCTCGCTTTTGAACTATGCACCCGCGTAAAAGCTCGCGTTTGTATCTGCCAACTGGAAATGCATCATGCGGCGTCGCTTGCGCGCCCTCGTGGTCTGGAGGAAATTACATTATTCGATAATTTTATGGTTTATATACAGAAGAAATTTATTTAATTCGGCTCGCGCACCTGTACGTGTATTTGCGCCTATGTTTGTGACCGTTAATAATTTTCACTATTTATTAATTAATTACTTATTTGCGCGTCTATTTACGTAAAACCATTGCGGCAGTTGGAAATTAAATTAACGGTCGTAAATTGTTAAATTGCCGGGCAAATAGATACGCATTTTCATGCGGACTAGCGGCCCGGCAAGTCCGGCCGAGTAACCGGCGGTGTAACAATCGTTCGTGACGTCGTCGCGGTACGACTAGCGCATAGTGCATTCTCAGCTAAACGGAGGATCACGCAGATGCACACTGATGATATCGATCACGATCGCTCTCGCGAAAACCAGTCGCGGCAGACCGCCCTCATGCATAAAGCGAAGGCGTTTCACGGCGATGTATGCGCGCCGTGGCATTATACGGAACGCCGGTGCCATTATCGACAGCGATATTAATTATAATTAATGAGCCTCACGGGGGAGTAGCGCGGCTTTCCGTGCTCCTGCCTGCACGGTTATATATTGAGGCGTGTGATGTGCCGACACATGCGCGCACACACGTACCCACACAGACGTATTCGCACACACGCGGCACGTAGCGCAAAGGCAGAGATGTACAATGCCGCGAGATCTCGGCGGAGAGCCGTTTCCGAGTTCGATTATCGATGCCCCGAATTTAACGTCGGTACGTGAAAAGCGCGGAGGCTCGCGAGGCTGCCATGCACAGAGAGAGAGAGAGAGAGAGAGACATTTATTATTGGCCGGTATCGACTTAACGTCCGTGCGGCGGGGTGCAGCATCGCCCCGTCTTATTGAACAGCAACGGAGTATATCGCGGTCGCGGAAAGTGCTCTCCGAGATGAAAGCCAGTTGCGCGCACACCGCGTGGAAACGTGGCGGCGCACGGCTCGAGAAAGATGATATGTTTGCGAGCTTCGAAGCGAGCGTGGCTTGCGCACATCGCGCCCTTCAAAAAAATAAGTCGAGTGTGATTCGGCCGAGACGGCTGCAGATTTTATCTGTCTCGATTATGAGTACTCGTACGCAGAGAAAAAGTGCTAGATTCAAGTAAATAATTATTCCAATATTCCTTACCAATTCTCTTAAGCTGAATCAGTGAGAATTCACTCATTTTTAGTGGAAACTCCTCCACTTTGCTCTTTTGTCTAATATTTTACTGATTTCGGCCAGTGAAAGGCCGAAGTCGCAGTTACGCGTCTCGTAGCAAAGATATATGTACGTAACGTATATGCGTTCGATATTCGGATTGTTAATAAATTCAAATTATATGTCGTATATACGTATATTTGGCGTTTGTTCGTATGACAGCAGACTCAGAGCTCGGGTTTTCGAGTCTCGTCAGGATAAACGTGTTTTTCTAATGTGACATGAATTAAATCAATTAAACATAATTAAGAATATTTCAGGCTAAATCATTGACAATATCTTAAGAGTGGGATTAAAATAAACAAAAAATAATAAAAGTAATATCTCTTCTCAATGTTTCTGCAGTTAGATTTCTCCGGTGGAAACAGTTGCTGCTATTAACAGACTTTTGCAGCGAAATTTTGCTGATTTACAGTGCTATATATATAATTATGATCATAGTGAATATTGACAGCTTCCTGGTAATAATACACTGTGATTGCACTTTAGAGAGAAATGTTTACTCGGATCAAATAAATGTTTTACTTGAATCAAGTATCGGAGTACTTATTTACTTGAATCTTGCGCTCTTTTTTTCTGCGTAGGCTAACGCAATTGGCGTTTCTATGGACTATGTGTCTGCTCATAAATAATAACTTCCAAATGATGAACTGTTGAATTGGAGAAAAAAAGAGACAAAACGTGAGCGTTTTTATCGCGTTTTGTTTTATTTTAAAAAGTTCTGAAAAACGTGTAATTGTTTTTAGCAGATAATTTACTCGGCAAATGGGATAACATGAAATTGCATTTGGTGCGGCGACTCTTTTTTCCGCAGAATCCGCAATAAATCAATCGTTGCACAATGCAATTTCGTAATTGGAGAAGTACATTTTATTAAATACCGATAGTCGCTTCGCAATAAAAGAAAAACTACGCCGGTCGGGCTTTTTTGCCCCGACAAAAGTATGACTTAATCAATCGGACGCATTGAGATTCATCTCTCGACGAAGGCAATTTTCCCGCGGCGCATAAATGAGAAATATTTTCGCCAATAATCCCGTGGTCGCGAAAGCACAACTTTTTAACAATAATTATGCACATAAATGAACGTTATCGTAACGATAGAAAATATAGCGAAACTCGATGCGCACACAAACGGTGGAATAAATTTCGCGATAATACATCGCACATCCATGACTGTTACGGAAGGACGAACGAAAATGTAATCAGAAAGAAAATCCGTAGAAAAGTTCTCGATCGCCGATATTATTAGAATAAAAAGCACAAGTGAGCTTTCCTTAATTTGCTGCCGTTTGTCAACGTGTAAACCGCGTTGCGACGGAAAAGCGATCGCTCTTTCTTCCGATGAACACAT